CATCCCAAATCACTGTTAACAAATTTGAAGGAAGTGTCAAGTAAAGGCTAGAGGCTATATGGTAGGAAAAATACTTGCACTCATTTTACATGCCTGGATTACATCTCCAAATATCTGTGCGTTTGGAAATCAGAGTATGGACTATGCTAGGAGACATAATCTGCTTTTCAAGTATTTATGAAATATAACACATACATTAGCTTTTAAGGTGTTATAGGACTTTGCTGTTTGCTGCAGTTTAACTTACAACAGTATTTGGGGGAGGGGAGAGAAAGGGGAACATATCTGAACTGCTTTGCATGACTTGTCCAAAATTATTCCTACAACCTGAGTAGTTTCAAGGAAAAGATAGCGAAGATTTTATAGTATTAATGAATGACATCCAAAGCAGCAACATCCATTACACTGAAACCAAAAAAAGCTGATGTAGAGTAAATTAATAAGATTTTATATATATTAACAGAAGGAACAGAATAACAGAGATGGAAGGGACCTTGGAGGTCTTCTAGTCCAACCCCCTGCTTAAGCAGGAGATCTTATATTGTTTGAGACAAATGGTTGTCCAGTTTCTTCTTAAAAGCCGCAAGTGATAGGAGCATCCACAACTTCTAAAGGCAAGCAATTCCACTGATTAATTGTTCTCACCATTAGGAAATTTCTCCTTAATTCCAGGTTGCTTCTCTCCTTCATTAGTTTTCATCCATTGTTTCTTGTCTTTCCTTCTGGTGCTTTGGAAAATAAGTTGACCCATCTTCTTTATGGCAGCCCCTCAAATATTGGAATACTGCTGTAATGTCACCCTTACTCCTTTTTTTCACTAGACTAGACATACTTAATTCCTGCAACCATTCTTCGTATGTTTTAGCCTCCAGCTTCCTAATCATTTTTGTTGCTCTTTTTTTTACTCTTTACAGAGTGTCAATATATTTTCACAAAATGGTAACCAAAACTGGATGCAATATTCTATGTGTGGTCTTACTAAGGCTTTATAAAACAGTGAGGGGTCCTTAGTGCTCTCTGATCTTGCTTGTTTTCTTGCAGACATTTCATTACTAACTAGATAACACCATCAGTGCTAGAGGACCTCTCATTTCAACCTTGAGCTACAAATAACCTCCTTCATTTATAAAACAATACTAATACTTCATGTGATCTAGGTTCTATTCCTCTGTTAATGCAACCTAGGACTGCATTGGCTTTTTTGGCTACTGCCACACACTGCTGGCTCGTATTAAAGTGATTGTCCACTAGGACTCCAAGATCCCTCTCACAGTTACTGTTTTGAGATAAGTTTCACTTAATCTGTACCTGTACATTTGATTTTCTTGTCTAAGTGTAAAACTCTACTTTTCTCTACACTGTATTTTATTTTGTTAGATAGGGCCCAATGTTCAAGTCTGTCAAGATTCATCTGGATATTGAGCCTATCTTCTGGGGTGTTGGTTATTCCTGCTAGTGTCATCTAAAAATTTGATGAGTACCCCTTCTATTCCCTAATCTAAATCATTTATAAAGATGTTGAAGAGTACAAGGCCTAAAATGGAACCTTGGAGCTTACTTCCCTCCATGTAGAATGTAGTTCCATTAAAGACTACATACTGAGTGTCATTTGTCAGCCAGTTACAAATCCATCTGGTTGGTTTCTTTGTATCCCACATTTTTCTAGCTTACCAAGAAGTGGGTTGAGTCTACTTTGTCAAATGCCTTACTGAAATCCAAGTATATTATGTCCACTGCATTTCATTCATCCACTAATTTAGTCTCTTTGTCAAAGAATGAAATAAGATTTGTTTGGCATGATCGATTTGTGACCCATGTTGGTTTCTGGTTATAAATTTGCATCTTTCTAGGTATTTGCAATCCTAGAAAATCTTTTTCTAGGATTTTTCCAGGAAAAATCATGTCAGATTGGTCTGTAGTTTCCTGATCTGTTCCCCCACCTTTTTGAAGATGGGAACCACATCAGCTCTTTTCCATTACTCTGGTGGTTCCCTGTTCTCCAAAATCTGCTGAGATCACATCTTGGTAGTTCTGAAATCACATCTGCCTTTAGAATTCTGGGATGTAATCCACCAGATCCCGATGATCCCAGAGTGGATAAATGTTCTCTTATCATTTTCTTACTTATTTTAATTTGTATTCCTCATCTGTCTTTTACAATTATGTTTTTGGTAGTTTGAGCTATATTATCTTTTTTCATAAAGACAAAGAATGAATTAAGCAGCTCTGCTTTCTCCTTGCTGTCCGTCGCTTCCTTGCATGTCCTCTCATCATCCTTGACTTTTTCTATGTTGAAAGAAACTTTTTTATTATTATTTTTGACATTTGTTACAAGTCTTACTTCATCCTGGGTCCATTTTTGCAAATTTGGGCTACTTGTTGGTATTGTGCTTAGTTATGTATTCCTCTTTCCATTTTGTGTACTTATGCGTTTTATCTTTCAGTTTATCAGAGAGTTCTTTGTATAATCATGCTGGTTTCTTCTTGGATTTCTTGTTTTTCTTTTTCAAGTGGATTGGGCTTTTATAATCATATTTTTCAGAGTGCCTAAGCTTCTTGAGTTAGTTGACTTCCACATTTTGGTTTTACTTGGTTTTCTTTCTGACAGCAATATTATACACAGAATATATATGTGTGTGTGTGTGTGTGTGTGTGTGTGTGTATGTATGTATGTATATATATATACACACACACACACACAGTGAAAATACAAAAGTAAGTGGCAGGAAAGATAGGACAGTGAAAGGGGAATAGAAAAGTGAGGAAAGGGAGAAAAAAGAAAAAAAAGGCATTGATTTCCGACTTCCTTTGGTGCAGTAAAATAGAATTTCAACATCAGACCTCAATTTTTTACTTTTACAAAATAACATAAACTAGCCATTTTGATAATATCAAATCTATCTAATCGAAAAAACCCAAAATTAAAGTTTCAATATATCAAATATCAAATCCATCTAATCGAAAAAACCCAAAATTAAAGTTTCATTTTTTTCCAAACACAAAGTCCAGAAGTAGTTTCCACATAGCAATAAAAGTATTCATGTTCTTTTCTTTAATCAGTACAGTCAATTTAGCCATTTCTGCTAGCTCCATCAGTTTTTGCAACCTTTCCTCCATTGTAGGAATCAATGTACTCTTCTATTTCTGAGTGTTGAGTAATCTTGCTCCAGTCCACATATATAACATCAAAGTTCCATATTTTTTTCCATGTCTTTATCCATTAGCCTCAAAAGAAAAGTCTCTGGTTTTCTTTCTATATTCACTTTAAGAATTTTCTGTGTTAACACATGAATCCTGCTCATATATTTTTTTTGCTTTATCACACATCCACATTAAAAAGTAGAAGGTCCCCTCTTTATATTTACATTGCCAACATTCATTTGAAATGCCTTTATACATTTCTGAAAACTTATCTGGTCTTAAATACCAATGGTACGTTGTCTTATAGAAATTTTCTTTTAAATTATAATTTAATGTAAAGTTTAATCCTTTATTCCACATATTCTCCCATTATTCAAGCATTATATTATACCCAAAATACTTGCTCATCTAATCATACAATGTTTTATTTGTTCATTTTCCAGATTTAACTTCAATAACATTTTATAAACTTTAGCAATAATATGTTCATCACTACCACACAGTAGGATTTCTAATTCATTTTTAACAAAGCTAAACCCATGATTCTTTATATCTAGTTTAAATCTTTCTTTCAATTGCATGTATGTAAACCAATGGCAGACATGGCCATAATATTTTCTACACTGCCTCTACTCTAATAAAAGTTTGGCTAGCTAATAATGATATAGGATTAAAAGTATTGTTTTTAAAATACAATAGCTTGCTCCCTCTTAGAAGTTCTGCACTTCCCCATATCATAATAGCATGCCTAATATTCTGATTAAATGACCTGAAGAAAAAAATTATAAGTATTCCTGTATACTTATAAAGTATACATATTTTTAAAAAGAAAAATATGTTTTCTTTTCACTACAAATAATATCAATTCATAATTCACGAGTAAAAGGTTGAGTCTATCAAATAAGTAATGATAAAAAGTACATTCAGGCTTACTTGGATCTAAAATATGAAAACTGTACAAATTCTATTGTCCTAAGAATTTAAAGTCCTGGAGGGATTTCTTTCAACGTGTATTATGCTCATAAACTATGGTGAGATCTAGTAATGAAGAGAGTTCCATAAAGGATTGGTAAAATAAAAAGTAGTCCTCAACTTACTACTGTAATGGATCCTGCCCATTATAGTTATAAATCATGATGATTGCAAAGCAGGTCACAATCCAATTTTATGATTTATTTATTTTTTTTGCAGCAGTCGTTAAGGAAATGCTACAGTCATTAAACAAACCCATTGTTCAGTATGGAACATTTCTGCCCAAAATCAAAACTAAATGCAGTTTTTTGGCAAAAATATCATAAATTGTGGTCATGTTACCACCAGATGCTGCAAACAATCAAAATGTGGTCATGTGACCCCAGGGAGGGGGGTTGCCATCAGAACTTTGGAACCAGGTCTTAAGTAGCATTTGGGAGGATTCCTCTGAATTTCAAATGGTCACTACGCAACTAGTTGTAAGTTGAGGACTACCTGTAAACTAAAGGATATTCTTATTCAAAAAAATGAAACTCTGATGCATTCTGAAAACAATGTACACATAAAATTCACAATTCAAAAATTGTGGAATGATACAGAAAGCCCACAAATAACTAGGGATTGAATAAAACTCTGAAATTGTTTACTCTAAATGATTTGTTATAATTATTTTTCTTGTATATTCTCATTAAACAGATAAATTATATTTTGCTATATAATATGTTTTGCAGCATGCTATAGTAAGTGTTTTCAGTAATTTCAAAATGACAAATGTAAGATAATATTATTCCAACAGCATAGTCTTACTTTTAAGAATATTTCCACTTTAACAATATTTCCACTATATTCATACATTTTTCTATTTAAAACATACTATGCATACTTACCAATGCAGGAATGAACTCGGACTGAAAGTTGGGTTCTCAGAATTATGCTGTGTTTTTTGCCCCTACTGGGGAGAAGAAAGAAAGAAATATGATAAGCATAGTAATGAATAATTATGGAAAGAAATAATTTATCTAATCTTATGCTATCTAATGAATTTAAAGACAATTAGATATTGTTTCAATTAAAAACCATACATGTATATGTATTATGACATCTGCAGTTGTGTTTTGATTTTAATTTTAAAAGACAACAATTGCATTAAAAGTTTTAAGCATTTTTTATCACAAATTTGGTCTCAATTGATTTGTACTGTGAATTAACCCTGTAGAAAACAAGAGGGTTTTTTTATTATTATCCCATATTGAAGTAAAATTAAAAACATTCGTGTGTATATTTTCAAATATATCTGAACCCACATTTACATATCTGGATTTCAAATAATGAGACAAAAAAAATAAATTTTCGAACAATAGGTCCAACTGGCTGAACTTTTGCCTATGGTTTTTTTTGTGTGTATTCATACTTATATTTGCACATCACTTGTTCAGGCCATCACCCAGGGCTTTAGTTAGAGTTAGGGTTACAGTCTTTCTTTCTTCCCTCCATTCCTGATGCTTCAAAATTTCTGCAGAAAATGTAGGCATTGTAATTTCTCAAAAAATAGCTGAACCAGTTCAAGGTTTCTTACAAACATGCAACTGATACTTGCTGCCAAGAGTTTACAGAATTTGAAATGTACTAATTAGGCAGCAGTTCAGAGAGGTCTTTTGCCTGCAGTTTCCACTCATTATAAACTGATCTTGTTTTTTACCCCTCAAAGAAAAAAATATAGCCCAATTGCCTTTTGAAAAAGCACCTTTGAGACAGCCATGACCTGGATGACTTAGAATCTTCCTAGACACCTCCTTCTACAATTTCACCTGGAGAACAAGAAAAATTTGATATACTTTGGATTCTAAGTGTAGGAGGGTCAAACTGCAATCCCTGTGTCACTGAGAAGGGTCCAGGATCCTTTGGCTCCTACCCTTAGCCACACTTCCTTCGCCTCAAGTCTACCGCCTCCGACCATTTGCCTGCAGCATTCCTCCTCGGCTGGGCCGCCTCCACCCATTCTCCCTGGCCAATTGGTCCCTGGCCCTCCACCTCATGCCCTTCAGCCCAGCCCATTTGCCAAGGTCCCCTTTGTCCCGGGCTTTTAGACACATGGGGCAGTTAGCCAATCGGATAGGTGACAGACAGCAGTCCTGTTACTCTCAGGGGGGGGCAATGTGCGATAGATGATTGCAGGGGCTGTGTTGTGGGTGCGGCTTCTCTGATTGTATGGTGGGGAGAAACCTGGCGTGGGACAGGAAGGACGGGAGGAAGCCTGGTGTGTGGCAGCAGGTCCATTCCCCATTCAGTGTGAGGTCAGAGTCCAGGAGCAGAGGCAATGGAGGGGAGGATGGAAGCAAAAAAGGAAGCCGGTGCGCTCCAGGCTTTTTTTTTTTTAAGCTGCCAGAGGCTCATGGCAGAGAGGGTGACAGGCAGGCAGCAGTGGGTGGGGGCTTCCCATTTTGACCCCTCCTGCCTGTCATTGACTCTGCACTTGGATTCCAGCCTGATGGGCCTCTGCATGGCTCTCAGCTCAGCTCTCCCTTCCCCCCTGGACTGTTCATCCAGTCTAGTTTCAATTCTCCTTCCTCCTAGCCAATGTCTGGTCCGTGGTCCCCTGTAAAACACCTACAATGCGGGGGCTTCACTGGGAGAAATCCATCTAAATGATTTTAGCTTTCCCCACCAAGTTTACTCCCCCCTCCCCTCCCAATGATCAATCACCTTGGACCTTCCATCTTGAGGAAGCAAACAGGAGGCGGGTTTGCAAGTGTGTGTGTGTGTGTGTGTGTGTGTGTGTGAGAGAGAGAGAGAGAGAGAGAGAGAGAGCTGTAAAACATTCTGTGATGGGGGAGGGTGGAAGAATCTCCGTACTCTAGTCACACACATTGGTTTAACACACTTAGGCACACCCAACATGTTCCCCCCTCCAATTTCCATTCTTTGTCTGGAATGCAACTGGCCACAACACCCATTGGGGCTGGCTTCTCTACCCTCTCCAAACTTTTTCCCAGTGTTTCTCATTCTTAGGGAGGGAGGGAGGGAGGAGGGAGGATAGCTGAGCAGCCAGGATCTCTGGGATGCTGGGTGGGATCTTGCACAGCAGCTGGATCTTGACATGTAGGCTCTATTCAAAAGGAAAATAAAAGAGACTGAAAAAAAGAAAAAAAAATCACAAAAGGCTGCAAGAGGGGCGGTGAGGAAGGAAAACATAGAGACAAGCATAAACATTGTAGAGGAAAAGACAAGAGAAGCTGGGATGGCAGCTTCTTGCAGTCTGAGCTTGGTTTTGAGGCCAATGAAGAACACCAGACACGAGGTGCAGGTTTTCTTTTCTTTTAGTGAAGTTCTCTAAGAAAAGGGATCCTGGCCAAAATGCCAAGGAACCTCGAACCACAGAATTAAGGAAGCTTTTTGCATTTTCAAAAGGTTGGATAAGGCAGGATATATAAGAAATATCATCTAATAAACATTTCAATAATGATCTAACAATTGTTCTATTGATCTGTAGCTGTCTCTATTCCTAAGCTTTGGCTTCTGGAGTTATCTAATACACATTCTATTTGCTCCAGGCCATCTCTATTTCTAACTTTTAGCTGAGCTTTTGTTACTTTTATCAGCTTTTTAACCACCCAGAATTGTTACAAGCTTTACACATTCCCTATGAATAAGCATTCTTTGTTCTTGCCAGACAAAACTCTTCAATTCCTGAGTCTGGTTAACAGACTCAGGCTCAATCCTGACAAGACTGAGTGGCTTTGGATATTGCCTCCCAAGGATCATGTTAACTGTCCAGTGTTGATTCTAGCAGGGGATAATATACCCCCTTCGGAGCGGGTTCACAACTTGGGTGTCCTCCTTGATCCACAGCTGAAATTGGAACATCATTTGACGGCTGTGGCTGGGAGGACCTTTGCACAAGTCCGTCTATTGCACCAGTTGCGACCCTACCTGGACCGGGAGGCTCTCCTTATAGTCACTCATGCCCTTGTCACCTCACATCTGGACTACTGCAATGCACTCTACATGGGGCTTTCTTTGAAAAGTATTCGGAGACTACAGTTGGTCCAGAATGCAGCCGCGCGAGTGATAGTGGGTGCTCCTCGGTACACCCACGTTACACCTATCCTCCGTGAGCTGCACTGGTTGCCTATTGGTCTCCGGGTCCAATACAAGGTGTTGGTTATTACCTTTAAAGCTCTATATGGCTCAGGGCCAGGCTTTTTGCGAGACCACCTACTACCTCATAGTTCCCTTCGTCCGGTTAGATCCCACAGGCTGGGCCTCCTTCAGGTCCCGTCGGCCAAGCAGTGCCATTTGGTGGGGCCGCGGGGGAGGGCTTTCTCTGTGATGGTGCCCACGTCTTGGAACCAGCTCCCCCCGGAGATTAGGACCGCTCCCACCCTGTTGGTTTTCCGCAAGCTGCTTAAGACCTGGCTTTTCCGGCAGGCCTGGGGTTTATAAAATCTGACCCCTGGATGAATGTTATTGTATTGTTTGTTTTGTTAAGTTATGTTGTGTTTTTATTGTTAGCCGCCCGGAGTGGGGCGGTCTATAAATTTTAATAAATATAAATATCCCCTTTCAAGTGTGTGTCATAATCTTGCTTTGTTTCTCCACCCTCTCCTTCCTTCCTTCCTTCCTTCCTTCCTTCCTTCCTTCCTTCCTTCCTTCCTTCCTTCCTTCCTTCCTTCCTGAGTGTGTGTGTATGTATTTGTGTGTGTGAATAGAGTATGGAGATTCTTCCATCTCCGTCACAGCTCTCGCACAAACATAAACATACACACACACACACCTGCAAACTCGCCTCCCGTTTGCTTCCTCAAGGTAGAAGGTGAAAGTGCTGAGTGCTGCCTCTGGCACCTGTGCCATAGGTTCGCCACCACTGATGTAGGACTTTGAAGGGGACAATGAGCACCTTGCACTCAAAAGCAAATAAGCAGCAAATGCAGCTCCTGCAAGAGAGGTAATATATGTACAAATCTAGGCTTGCACAAAACCATGCAGGCCGCTGTATTTTGAACCAACTGATGCTTCTGGATACTTTCCAAGGGCAGCCCCATTGTAGAGTGTTGTTGCAATGGTAAAGACAGATGATTAGGGCATGGGTAACTGTGAGCAGGGATTGTGGGTCCAGGAAAGAGTGTAGTTGACACACAACCTCAGTTGCACAAAGGCCCACCTGGCTAGGACTGCCACCACCTGCACTTTAAGCAGAAGTTTGAATACACATCAGGCCAAGACAGGCAGGTCTTCTTGGACCAATGAACCCCAAATCCTAAGCCATTCCATCAGGCCAGGGTTCAATTTCAGCCTATTACTCCCTGTTCTGCCTTTAACAGCCTCTGGACACTGCAAGAGGGAGATCACAGCATCACTTAACTCACAATGGGCTGAGACATACTGTATATCTGTGCCATCAACAGATTGATAATAACATAGCCCATGGTGGTAGATGATCTCACCCAACAACTTCTTGTAGATGTTAAACACAGATGGACACAGCATTGAGCCCTGCAGAAACTTTCAAAACAGGGGATGAGAGCTGAATCTCTTGTTTCCTATCAACACCAACTGAGAGCAACCCCAAAGGAAACAACTGAACCAAGGACAACTCACAACCCCACACTCACAACCCCCAAAGCTGCTCCAGAAGGGTATCATGGTCAATGATATCAAATGCCACTGAGAGGTCAAGTAGAGAGAGGTTGAATGCACTGTCCCATCTCACCCCTGCCAGAATCCATAAAAAGTGTGACCAATGCCATTTCTATTCTATATCTAGACTCGAATCCTGACCGGATAATCCATTTTATCCAGGAACCTTTGGAGCTGCAATGCAACCACCTTCTCAACAACCTTCCCCAGAAAGGGAAGTTGGAGATAGGACAAAATTATCCAATAGGATGGAATATAGGCATAGCCTCTTAAGAAGAGGGTGGAGTACAACTTCCTTAAAAGGCTAGGTCACCA